CTCCAGGTGTGACAGAGCAGTCAGTCAGACTTCTAGGTTCCAGCAGTCTGGTCCACCTGATGGCTGCAGCGTTAACCTTTACTGATGAAGGCGAAAAGCAAATCCATTCAGTGTTTATTCTAACCACCCTTCTATTTGAGGTGACCAGCCTGAGTCTCGAATTTCCTACCACCTGCTGTTGCTTCTGTTCAGCGGCCCTGCGGCCGTTAAACCCGAAGTGGATCAGACCGCTGTGCAGCAGGAGTCTGGCAGGTCCCACTCAACAGTGTTGCCAGAGCTTGAATCGCGATTCAGCGCTTGACTGAAATTGATTTTCAGCCCCCCTGAGGTCTTGGGGATTAACGATGGCCTGCAGTCTCTGTTGAAACCTCTTCATTTTAAAAGTGACATTTTTTTGTAGAAGTGTAGAAGTGAAAAACAAATTCTAAAATACGTCAAGCTGTTGATGCCACAGTTTCCTCTCGGTAGAGACTAAACTTATCTGTTGAGAAAAGCCCGCGGCTGACTGCTCTATTTATTTTCTTATGTGTCATGTAACCAGAACACACTGAGGCTTTTGGAAGGGCTGGGTTCTCAGGGAGGCAAAAAAAAAGCTTTGACATTTCCCAGCCCACCCAGCAGGAGCCTCTCGGGGGTCCGGGGGGCTGGCGATGCCCCCCCAGACCCCCGTGAAGAAACTCTGCAGCTCCACACAGAGAGGGAACTCCCCTCGTCACCGCAGGCTGAACATTCAGCCGTTTTCTGTCCGGAGAGGGAAGTGGCTGTGTTGTGAAATAGCATCTCAGCAGAACCACATGCTTCATCACTCCTGGTGCTTCTGCTTTCCTCACTGAGCCATCTGCAGTGCAGCCAGAGCCTAATGACTGACCGAGTGGCGAGCTGTGTGACTCTCAGAGAATTGAACAACACCAGTGGCTGCAGCTCAGCTCGATCCCAGTGACAGGGAGGAGGTGTGTGGAGAGTACTCTCTCTAGAGGGTTTCAAAGCTGAGGATGCTACACTCGTCAGTGTCGCACTGCCTGAAGTGAGCACCTTTCACGAAAGCAGGGATCCCTGATCCCAGATCCCTAGGAGAGACGCCGGGTGGGGGTGTTGCTGAGATGCGTCGGGGTGTCCCAGTCCAGTAAGTGTCATTGGTATCCTAAAGATGAGGGAGATCTCCCGTTCGGCTGGTCCCAGTCCAGCTCTTCCAGCTGTTTGGAGATTGAATGGTGACCTTTGACACCTGCTGGACAGGGGCTCCCTAGGAGCAGGACTGGGATAAAGAACTGCAGAGCAGCCACTTCTCTCAGTTTTGAGGTGCTGT